ATCGGATATTAATTTGGTGATATACGGTGGGTGGGTTGGCAGGCGGCTGCCAAACAGTGTCCGTGCTATTACGTAATTTGTTTTGAAATTTAGATTTGTTGTTTCCTGTGACCAAATGAAGGTCAAGTTCGATTTTAGCGATTTAAGCTTTTATCGGTGTTGAGTTATAAACCTTTAAATAGAGAAAAGTGATTTTATACTCAATCCTGTTTGGGATCAAATAAACAAGTTTTTAATCAACCAATCATTTCAAGTGGCACGATGGTACTTTGATTACAAATTATTACCCACAAACATAGATTGACACAACTCAATCAAAATGTTACTGTTATTTTGAATTATGTTTAATAAACTTAATAGTCATACCACATTTTCTTATTTTTATAATTACGATTTATAATTTTAAAAACGAATAAAACAATGAAACTTTACCACTTTGCTTTATTAAGAAATGTTCACAATCGGGTCGATCGGTGAATAAACTTGAAAGATGTCGAGAAATTCTATGGTTTAAACAAAAAATGTTCGGACTACAATAATATTCTGAAATATTTTGCAGTTTACCCGACAATTTGTTATAGCTATATAAAAAATACCGAAACTTTGAAATGGAAGAATTAGAATGTATTATTAAAGTTCACTGAATATGAATCCATGCAGTATGTTTTCAGATCTTACAAATCGCGACAAACAAAATAACGGACCGTCGTGAAATATGCACGTATCATGACGTCATAACATTTTCAATTTTGTCTAAAGTATTGGGTACTGGACTGGTATTCTGCAGGTTTGATACTATTCCTATGATAATGATATTAAAGAAATTATCTTTTGATGTTATTGCTGAAAAAAAAATCATTTGTCTTCAATCAAAACAGAAAATTTTATGTCTAAGGATTTGATTTGTGCATGTTATAGCCAGAAACAAAACGCCATAGCATATTTTCAGCTATAATTTACACCTTTCAAATTTTTAGCTTTAAAAGACCTTTAACTGAAAATTGTTAAAAGTTAGCTAATTAATTACTGACCCTCATACATTAAACTGCATATTACGGACAAAATATGACTTGCTAATACAAAACTAGGACTTCTTGATTCTAACTTTATATCAAGCTTACTGCAAATTGCTCAGTACTGTTGATTTTTATATTTCAAGGTCCAAAAAGGCCTGTCTGTACCATTTTGTGTGTTCGGTCCAAATTACACACACTTTATTCAGTCAAAATTATAATTAATGAAGGATATATATACTTTTAATGAAAAAATGTAATAAATCTGTATAATATAACATTGTCTGTCATGTGAAAAGCTTTTGGCCAAAATAAATGAAGTTAGAACTAAGAATTGACTCAAACTAAGAAAACAAATGTTTTTCTGTGATATATTTACATAATAGCTTGTAAAATGACATGCATCAATATGATAAATAAAAAAAAAATATTCATTATTCTCAAATATTGCGTCTATATCTACCCAATGAAACTCCTTTTGAAGATTTCTGTGGTTAATTGCTTCAGATAAACTTACCCTTGGCAGAAAAGAAGAAATATGTATTTAGTAAAAATTAAAATAAATGCAGGATATTTCGCAAGTTAAACGGAATAAGTGAAACAGTGTTATATACCCCATAAACATGATGAGCTCAATCAAATGTTATCATAATTGAAGGACAGATTCCGTATACCATATATATATAAAAATAAGAAGATGTGTAATGATTGCCAATGAGACAACTCTCCACAAGAGACCAAATGACTGAGAAATTAACAACTATATGTCACTGTACGGCCTTCAACAATGAGTAAACCCCATACCGCATAGTCAGCTATAAAAGGCCCCGAAATGACAAATGTAAAACAAATTCAAACGAGAAAACTAACGGCCTGATTTATGTACAAAATAATGAACGAAAAACAAATATGATATACAGCATCAAACGACAACCACTGAATTACAGGCTCCTGACTTGGGATAGACACATACAAAATGTGGCGGGGTTAAACTAGATTAAATGAACCAACCCTCCCCCTTACCTGGGACAGTGATGTAACAGTACAACATAAGAACAAACTAAAAAAAAATCAGTTGAAAAGGGCTTAACTGATCAGATAGATACAAAGCAGACATACATCTAACAAAAACACAGAGTGGACGTGGCAGGGTACTTATACATCCCCACAACAAAAAGACACTAAGTACAGATCTGAGAGTATTCGCAGTTACTGACAGCTAGTTAAAAGCGAATAACAACTTATAAAAAATCATGCATCTAAGCATAAAATATCAATCAGTACACATCCAACATCCAATGGATTTCGTTTAAAGACGTTATTATAACGGTCAGAAAAAACATGACCTTGTGCAATGCCAAGAAACAGGTATCGACAGATTGTAGAATCATGAATGTGCATATGTATAGAAAAATAATATTTAGTTTGATTTAAATTTACGGATAACAAAATCAATAGTAATACCAATAAAAACAATATTCAAAGATTTAATTATAGTGCTGAATTGGTAACCTTTTAGAATAAGTTTATTTTAAGTAATCGATAAGTTTACGCGGATCGTATCTAAATTTCCGGGCTCGGTAAACAACATCTCCGTAAAAATTAGGATGTGCTATCCTGTTTGAAATAAGTTTTCTAAAGGTACATCAAAACTTCCAAACCAAATCTTTATATCTATGGAAGAATTTAGTAAAGATTTTAAGTAATATGTGGTAACGAAATCCCTGACTTAATAATTTACCAGTAATACATAAATTACGTTCATTGAAATCCAAAACGTCACAACAGACACGGGCATAGCGAACGAGTTGTGATATATAAACACCGTAAGATGGTGCCAAAGGAACATCACCTTCCAAAAAAGGAAAATTAACAATAGGGAACGAAAAATCGTCCCTTTTGTCGTAAATTTTAGTGTAGAGTATCCCGTGTAAAACTGAAATATCTCAATCTAGGAAAGGACAGTTATTACCGTTTATACCTGATGTATCTAAAGTAAGTTCTATGACTGTCAACTTTCAATTTCTTTCTCTCGTAAATGTAGCATCCTTCGTGGTTTCTATGTGAATTCTTAAAGGTTAATAACCTTAATAACCGGCATTCAAGAAAATAATAATGTGTTGAGTATTAAAAGGGTGTCTACATTATCGTAATTTCCTTTTTTAAGATCGTAAATGTAGATTTTTACAATTGATATTACAAAGTTCAATTTTAGGGCAAAATAAGTCTTCGTTGTCTTAAAAGAGGGACGAAAGATACCAGAGGGACAGTCAAACTCATAGATCGAAAACAAACTGACAACGTCATGGCCAAAAATAAAAAGACAATCAGACAAATAATAGTACAGATGACACAACATAGAAAACTAAAGACTAAGCAACACGAACCCCACCAAAAACTGGGGGTGATCTCAGGTGCTCCGGAAGGGTAAGCAGATCCTGCTCCACATGTGGCACCCGTCGAGTTGCTTATGTTATTACAAATCTGGTAAATAGTCTAATTCGGTAAGTCACATTCGTGAAAAGGGAAGGGTATTGTAGTTACGACATACAGAACATATCCGATATCATCTGTGAAACGGTTATTCCATAACGGTCAACCAACTCGTGATGGCGTCCGTAAAATTTACGAAGGGATGACTTCAACTTCACCATTTGGAACTCTTGGTTTAATAGCTTCCTTGTGAGCAGCAATCCTCTATCAAGGAAATCATGATAGGAAACACAAGCCCGGGAATATCGTATCAATTGGGAGATATATACTCCGTATGCAGGCGCTGCTGGGATGTTGCTACATAGAAATGGAAAACTCACAATTGGGAAGCTGAAATCATCTCTTTTGTCGTAAAGTTTTGTTTTCAACCGACCCTCATTGTCAATTTCTAGATGTAAGTCAAGATATGAGGCAGACTTAACTGTATCTGTAGTATCCTTTATCTCTAGTTCGATGGGATAGATTCGTTCAACATAGTCACCAAATTTTGTATTATTAAGTGAGAGAACATCAGCTATATAGCGGAACGTAGAGTTAAAGGATATTGCTAACTTCTTATCTCTCTTCCTAAGAAGCTCCTGTATAAAGTCAGCCTCATAATAATAAAGAAACAAGTCGGCAAGAAGAGGGGCACAATTGGTTCCCATTGGAATTCCGACAGTCTGTTGAAAAACACGTCCTCCAAACGTAACAAATATGTTGTCAAACAAGAAATCAAGCATCTTGATAATGTCAGTTTAAGAGAATTTTTTGTTTGAATCAGAGTGATTCTTTACAAAGTAGGATTTATCCCTCCCCAAGACAAGATACTTGTATCTACGTTCGCCATTCTTTTTAATGAAACAAAGTAATACCAACTCTTTCAATTTCTCTTTTAGTTTGGAATGGGGAATACTTGTGTAAAGTGTAGAAAAGTCAAATGTTTTAATACTATTGCAAGATGAGAGAGTCTTAGATTGTATGTACTCTAAAAGATCTTTGGAATTTTTTAGTATCCACATCTGATTCACACCACCTCTAGAATAGGCAGTTTCACAATAACTTTGGAGCCCGGCTTTGATTGCTGATAAAATAGATGTTAATATTTTAGAAAGAGGTTTCGTGGAGCACTTGGAAGACCCAGCAATATACCGTTGTTTGTAAGGACACTTATGTAGTTTAGGTATCCAATACAGTGATGGAAGATCCAGTTCTTCGTCTTTGGTTGAAATTCCAAAGGAACATAGAATAGACCTATGATTATCTAGGATTTCCTCTTTGGTAAGTGTCGTGAGGGTATATGTTGAGTTTCCAAGTGAATTGTCAATACCTAATTCATTTATCAAGCAGTTTATGTAATGATATTTACACACAAAAACGATGTTGTTTGGGGCTTTATCTGCGGGGACAACAACATATTTGTCATGGAGGTAGGACAAGTGTTTTGCAACACTAATATACACGAAGAATCAATATAATGAATAGTTTTTGTTATTATTTTTCAATGCAGATGTCAATGAATGTTTGCTGGGTACTGACAGCTGTCATCCTTCTTTGGCACAATGTACTAACACAGAAGGAGGTTATACTTGTTCTTGTTTAGTTGGTTACCAAGGAGATGGCATTATTTGCAGTGGTATGTATAATGTTGTTTTACGGAACTGAAAGTGATTTCTGTATTTAGAATTTTTAATCTCTTTGATTGGGTCAAACATAAATAGATTTTACGCTAAAATTGACATATTGAACAAAAATCATCTACATGTGGTCGATAAAATTTTTAAATAAACACTAATCATAGATACCACGCTTACAAATTGAGACTCCAGACGTGCGTCACGTCTTCATCAGATTCATTAGTGGCGCTAGAATCAAAACAGTCTGAAGGCTTAATCACATAACGAAGTAGTCACTGTTACGACAGTTCCGTGTTTTTAATGACTTAAAGATATTTAATAACTACAAGTGCTAGATCTACTGCTAGATCTACTGAAAATCAAATAAAATTGATTAAGGTGCATGGATGAATCAATTATTGATAGAAATACAAGTATGGAGGTTTATGTGAATAAAGCAACATACGAACAATAAAAACAAAAAAGGCCTATAGAGGTCATAAGTTAAGTGGAATGTAGTTTGCCGATGCTCAATTCTCGTAAATCGATTAGGAAGAAGTAAATCAAGGCAAAAAAAATACCAGAGGGAATCACACGAACACCAATCAGCACGAGACCGGGTGCGTCGCCAGGACAAGGGTCTTCTGCTATGCATGCATCATCCGCCATGCAAATGCACACTCAGTAAAAATGTCCAAATCGAGAATAGGACACAATCGGAAAATCACAGATCAGATGACCATACTGGAATCTTAAGATCTAAAACCACGAAAATATGTCTAGACACCTACACATCGTATCGATCAACTAATTCATAATGGTAAGAATTATGTTGTGTCGATATCAGTCGTTCCTCCTCATACATCTGTTGGATCAGCGTTTGTGTAAGAAGCACTATACGATACGGTCTTATTTAAACAAGTTTCTATACATTATGTCAAGATTTCCATCGTCCCGAGTCTAAACATTCATGTATAAATTCATTAGAGATTAAAAAAAAATTGAAAAAGTTTTAAAGCAGATAATATCAAAGAAACATTGAAGTCTCGCTTCACACTACTAATTAGCAAATTGATGATCATCCCAAACATATCAGACGCACTCATTGAAGAACACCATTATAATTATGACTTTTATCAATGGAAAAAGACAGAAGATACCAGAGGGACAATCAATAACCATGATCAAAAATGAAATCACGACGAAAAGACAAAAACGTCTACAACACACTACAAAGAAGACGAAACACTGAACAACAGGAACCTCTCAAATAACCATGAGGTAATTTTAGGTGTTTTGGAAGGTTATGGAGATTCTGCTACACTAGAGGCACGTGTTTTCATGGCCTGTAACATTTCAAGGATTATTCGAATATCGAGAGGTCAAGCTGGTGAGAAATAGGACAGAATTGTAACTACGACAATTGGAATATACCCGTAGTAATCGGTTATCAAGATACTCCATAACCGAACGGTCAAGCAAAAACATGATGGCGTCCGCAAATAAAGGCAACAGTAGTATGCCGCTCTTCAGTAGTCATAAATCGATAAAGCGAAAACAAATCCGGATTACAAACTAAAACCGAGGGAAACACATCAACTATAAAAGGAAAACAACGGAACAACAGAAACACTGAACTGCAACAAAAACAAACGCCAACATACATAGAAACGGACTATACTTTAAATAAATCTAACATAAACAGCAGTAGTTGTCCTTTTCTAGATTTAAACATTTCAATTTCTAAAGGGAAACTCCATACTAAAATTTACGACAAAAGAGACGACTTTTCATTCCGTATTGTTAATTTTCCTTTTTTAGACGGCGATGTTCCTTTGGCTCCATCATACGGTGTCTATATATCCCAACTCGTTCGTTATGCCCGTGTGTGTAGTGATGTCAAAGATTTTAACGAACGTAATCAATGCATCACTGGTAAATTATTAAGTCAGGGATTTCGTTACCATAAATTACTTAAAACATTTACTAAATTCTTTCATAGATACAAAGATTTGATTAGTAAATTTGGCTGTACCTGTAGAAAACTTATGAAAAACGATATTTCACATCCTAAATTTTACGGTAATATTGTACTAAAAGCGCGGAAATCACTATGTGGTCCTTGTAAACTCATCGAACCTTTTAACAAACTCATTAGTAAAGGTTATCTTATCAATGTTATAATTAGATCTTTGAATATTGTTTACATTGACACAAATATCGATTTTGTCACCAACAAATCAAAACAGAACTAAATTTGTATTCTTTTCAAATGTTTTTTTTGGGATGAATAAATACACATGCACGTTCATTTTCTGTATATATATATTACTTTATCTATATATAACATTATACATATTTATTAAAAGGTTAAATCCTAACTATCCTAGTTCCTGTCGATACTCTTATTTTGGCATTGCACAAGTTATGTCTTCTTTGACTGTCCATGACGTTAAAACACTAAATCGCTGGGGTGTGTTTTAGTTGTTTTTAGTCTCTGATGCATGATTTTTTATTATTAATTGTTTTTGGCTTTTAACTAGCTTTCAGTAACTGCGAGTACTCTCAAATTCATGTTAATTTGACCTGTTGATACAATTTGTAATGCATTTTTGTTATTTAAAGTTTACTTATTTTGTGTTATATCTCGTCTCACTATTTTTAATAGATACCACCTTTAATAAGTATTTAGTATGACGATAAATTTTCATTTCTGTTCTCGTACTATGAACAACAAATTTATTTATTTTGTAAAAAATATTTCCGTACTCCATGTACTCCTTACAACAAAATTATTTTTTATTTACCTGTATACGTTATTTTATTTAACGACATTTTGTCCAAGGTTATAGTTTTTCTGATATTGTTTTACATCTCACCCCCCTTTTTTATATTTTGTATTTACATTGTGTCATAGATCAAATTTATTCGTTCAGTGTATGTTTACTTGTTTTTGTTAATATGTCTTTTGATTGAGTTAAGCCATTTCAATTGATATTTTATAGTGTGTCTTTCTATGTTGTGATGTTACACTATTATTTCAGGTTAAGGTGAAGGTTGGCGCCTGTTAAAACGTTTAAACCCGCTGCATTTGTTTGCACCTGTCCTAAGTCAGGAACCTGTTGTTCAGTGGTTGTCGTTTGTTGATGTGGTTCATAAGTGTTTCTCGTTTCTCATCTTTTATATAGATTAGACCGTTGGTTTTCCCGTTTGAATTGTTTTACACTAGTAAATTTTGGGGCCCTTTATAGCTTGCTGTTCGGTGTGAGCCAATGCTCCGTGTTGAAGGCCGTACTTTGACCTATAATGGTTTACTTTTACAAATTGTGACTTGGATTGAGAATTGTCTTATTGGCACTCAAACCACATCTTCTTATATCTATTTGATAACAACTGCCATATTCCTGACTTGGTACAGGACATTTTAAGAAAACATGGTGGGTTGAACCTGGTTTTATGGCTAGCCAAACATCCCGCTTATATGGCAATGTTAAAAACACCACTAAAATGACAACACTACGCGAGAGGGATACAGTACAAACAAACGCAAGAACACTCAGCACAGAGAATTACATAAACAAACAATATAATAGTACATTACAACATGTAAACCGCAGAATAACAACGGACACCTCCCATAAATTCACGACAGCACAGGACACCACAAAACGTAAAACGGTTCTGAAGGATGACTTTTATCTTTCTAATTAAGAATCTGGTTCAATATATTTCTTGTAAGTAGCAACCCTATATTCAGGTAAATCATGATAGGAAACAAAAGATTTAGAATATCGTATCATCTGAGAGATGTTTAATGCATATGCAAGCGCTGCTTGAAAGTTGCTACATAGAAATGGAAAGTCCTCACAAGCTGATGATCTTTTTTGTCATAACGAATAGTTTAGTTCTCATCCGACCTGCATTGTCAATTACTATATGTCAGTCAAGATATGAAAAAAACTCATCAAAGATACCAGGCTTATAGTTTCGTACGCCAGACGCTCGTTTCGTCTTCACGAGACTCATCAGTGAGGCTGGAATCAAAAAAGCGCAAAAGGCTCAATCAAGTACGAAGTTGACTTAAGTACACTCACCTTTACTTGTGGTATCCGTTATTTCAAGTTCTTTCGGATTGATGCATTCAATTTAGTTACGAAACATAGTTAGATGACATCATAAATTGCTTTAAAAATGAAATAAAAACTTTATTTTTGTGCGACTGAAGCGGTTTTTTTTTCGGATTTCCCGTCACCAGAAACGCTCAAACTAAAACATGAAAGCGCAGTAAAAGAATACTGCTAGCATCTTCCATTCTTCTCGAGAAGCTGCTGTTTGAAATCTACCTCTTCTGAATAATAGAACAGGTCGACAAGAAAAGGAAAAAAGTTGGTTCCCTTGCAAATGCCGGTTGCCTGTTGAAAAAAACACGTCCCTCAATTATAACAAATATATCTAAATATATTTTAAGTCAAGCTTCTTGATGATGTCATTTCAGGGAACATATCTAAATAGAGAATTTTGTTACAAGATAGGAATTATCCTTTCCTAACCCGATATATTTGTACCTGCGTTGGTCATAATTTAGGAAACAAAGTTAGACTCAATCTGTTTAATGGTTTAGAATGTATTTTGTACATAAATTAGGCCGTTATTTTTCTCGTTTGAATTCTTTTACATTTGTCATTTCGGGGCCTTTCATAGATGACTATGCGGTATGGGCTCATTGTTGAAGGCCGTACGATAACCTATAGCTGTTAATTTCTGTGTCATTTGGTCTCTTGTGGAGAGTTGTCTCATTGGCAATCAAACGACATCTTCTTATTTTTATAGAATGAGTTTATTAACCCAAAATTAAAATTAAAATGACAATAATAACCTTGTTACCTTTCTGAATAATATTAAGGGAAAACTGTATGTGAAATACAACTTTTTATGTAATCCTTGTTGGTGCAATCATTTATTCCACTATTAATCTTTATTCTTCTTTTAAAATTTTATGATATTATGACCAATTAATGGTGTATATCCCTGCTGCGAAATTTTTTAAGTAAATATGCTACGTTCAATGAATTATGAAACGGCATTACAAACTAGCACTTTTCACTTCTGATTAAAAATTTACACAAGTAAAACCCTTTACACAGTATCTCCCCATTTCAAACCAAAAGAACAAATGTAAAGAATTGATCTTGCTTTGTTTCATAAAAAAAACAATAACTAACGTAGATACAAATATTTTGTTTTAGGGCGGAATAAATTGCACTTTGGAATAAACCTGTCTGATTCAAAGTATTCTCTGAAAGTAACATTATCAAGATGGTTGATTTCGATTTTTCAACAAACAATCGGCATTTCCATGGGAACCATATGTGCTCCTCTTCTTGCCGGCTTCCAATATTCAAGCTGCATACTGGAGTTTCTTATGAAGAATAAAAAAAAAGCTAGAATTATCCTTTAACTTCACGTTCCGCTATACAGATGATGTATCCTGACCGAATAGTCAAACGTTTGGGACTTTTGTGAAGACGCATGTGCCGTCGAAATTTAAATAAAGGATACAACATATACAGTTATGCTTTCTCATTTCTTGATATGCATTTACACATTGACAATGAGGGTCGATCTAGAAAAAATACTTTACGCCAAAAGAGATGATTTTAGCTTCCTAATTGTGGACTTTCCATTTCAATGTAGCACAATTCCAACAGCGCCTGCATATTGAATATATATCTCTCAGTTGATACGATATTCCAGATGCATTTCCTATCATGATGTCCTTGATTGATAGTTGCTGCTTACAAGGAAGTTATTAAACCAAGAGCTCCAAGTGTTTTTAAAGTTGAAGTCATCCTTTCGGAAAATTTACGGACACCATCACCAGTTGGTTGACCGTTATGGAATATTTGTTTCGCAGTTGACGACGATAATGTTCCGTTTGTCGTAAAAACAACTCTGTTCTTTTTTTTTCGCGAATGTGACCTACCGAATAAGACTTATCAGCGTGTTTGTGCTTACTTGAACTACATGACGGGTGCCACATGTTAAGCAGGATCTGGTCACCCATCCACAGCACCTGCGATCACCTCGGTTTTTGGTGGGGTTTGTGTTTCCCAGTTTTCTAGTTTTCTATGTTGTGTTTTGTTGACTGTTGATTTTGTTTTGTCGTTTTTTTTGTTTTTTTTTTGCCATGGCATAGTCAGGTCGTTTTTGACTTATGGGTTTGATTATCACTTTTGTATCTTCCGCCTCTTTTTACACAAGGTACATTTTGGAAAGACAAATTACTGATTTGTCATAAACTTTGGTTAGACAATTACCATGAAAAATTATTATATCAAAGTTTGATAAAAGACAAAAGTTATAATTAACATTTGATTTCGTAATTCTAACTTAAGTTTGTAAAATTTATTTGTAAATTTTAAGAATTTTTAGGGTTTCTGTTAACATAGAATATGTCGTCTAAACATCTGCAGGTTTTGTTAAATACATATTAGTGCTATTTCGATTGGTTCCTGTGACGTTTTGGCAAATTAATGCATGACAGTAACGAAATAAATCTGCAATAGAAGAGCACAGTTATCCCAAATCACGATACCAAACCTATGCTCCTATCGGGGTACCAATCTCATGACGGTATACTGTATCGTCAAAAAACTCAAATATTATCAAGCAGAGAACTACGGGTCTAATCATATTTTTACATGTACTATGAGCGATATTTTGTATGGTTTATTACTAAAAAAAGGAACTATAAGTACTGAAACAAAAAAAAATTATACCCAGATTTTTTCAGTGACTATGTTATCGAAAGGTTAAGTTTCCATGCGATAAGATTAAGTGGGAATGTGTTGTTTGCAAAGTATTGAACGCATAAATGTCAACAAAGACACATGGCCTTTAAATGATCCTGGTTTATGCAAGACAACTTAAATAAAGTTTGAAAAGATCAAAATATTTTATAACATAAATATAAGAAGATGTGTAATGATTGCCAATGAGACAGCTCTCCGCCAGATACCAAATGACGTAGAAGTTAACGACTATAAGGTACTGTTCGGCTAAGCAATGATCAAAACCCATACCGCAAAGTAAGATATCAAAGGGCCCGAAATGACAAATGTAAAACCATTCAAACGAGAAAACTAACGGTTTGATTTATGTACGAAACAATAAACGGAAAACAAATATGATATACAGCAACAAACAACAACCACGGAATTACAGGCTCCGGGCTTTGGGCGGGCACATACAGAAGTCGGCGGTATCAAACATGTTTGCTTTCGCCAAATCCTCCCTAACCTGGGACAGTGATTTAACAGTAAAACATAAGAACAAACTATCAAAATCAGTTAAAAAAGAGAGGCGAAAGGTACCAAAGGGACATTCAAACTCATAAGTCTAAAATAAACTGACAACACCATGGCTAAAAAAGAAAAAGACCAACAGACAAACAACAGTACACAAAACTCAACATAGAAAACTAAAGACTGAGCAACACGAACCCCACCAAAAACTGTGGGTGATCTCAGGTGTTCCGGAAGGTTAAGCAGATCCTGCTCCACATGTAGCACCCATCGTGTTGCTCATGTTAGTACAAACCCGGTGATAAGTCAAATTCGGTAGGTCACATTCGGGGAAAAAAGGGCTTAACTCATTAGATCGATACAAAGCACAACAAGAACCATAACAAAAACACTAAAGACAAACAGTACAGAAAAGTGAGTACTTGTAGTTATTTAAAGCTAGTTCAAAGGCACTAACAACTAATAAAACAATTATATATTTAAGACTATGACGCTATTAATATGATTTTTCTCTCTCAATATTTGATGATTTATTTAACGGGTGTTAGATCACTATTTATAAGAACCGAAATATATGCAGTTGAATACTTTTGAAAATTACGTCTTTTAATCTAAATCGTATTATTTCGACATCTGTTTACTAATTAAATGGATAAAATTTACAATTTAGGGAATTTAAAGTCTGTCGACTCAATCTTGTTTACATTGAAATAAAATTAGCAGCTGTTATTTGTAGAATGTAATTTGAATTAACTGAATTGACGAAATGTTCTTTTTCCTTTTGGAGAGATTTTAAGGGATATTAATACCGGTATGTTTGAGAATATCATTTTAAAATATGCGAAACTAAAGATTGGCATATTCATAAGATTTGTGCATACATCATGAAATACTGGTAGTGACTGTGACAATTTCTATCCAGTGACCTATTTGTACCAAAACCTTTGTAACTTAAAACTCGTTAATACCTGGAATACGCCATCAAATAGAATGCACATCAGTAAACATACTATTATAAATAAATGAGTGTATGATGGAATTTGTCAACATTCTTGTTTATATAAATACTTTTTTTTTAGATATTGATGAATGCTCATTAGGAACTAACAATTGTGATAAACAAATTGGACGTGGTGCATGTAATAATACAGTTGGATCATATACATGTGGATGTTATGCAGGCTTTTCTATGGCATCCAATGAACGCACTTGTAAAGGTAAACAAACCTGACATTTTTACGGTTCGACTATAAAATGAGAACAGTCGTGATAATTTTTATCAAGTCTGCGGCGAAAATTACTGATACGAGACATAGCGGTCCTATATTAAATCCTGTTAGTTTAAACATTTTGTTTGCTCGGATATGCAAAAAGGATGAGACAAAAATTAATCACACATATAAAGTCTTCTCCCATGAACAATTTATAACAATAGAAAATTTACAAAACATGCATGCAAACAATACAATACATTATATATATATGGGATATGTAAAAAAAAGATGTGTGATGATGTGAATGGTTGTACACAATATACATATATATGCACTTAAGTGTGCTATATTATACAATTAGAAACCTCTTTGACTCTTTAATACATGCATATACATTTTTTTAAATTCTTTCATTTTCATCATTAGTTGATGACGAATCACCGGAGGGTAAGATGATCTAATTTAGTGGAGTTCTCTGGTAACCAGTTTAGCTTATTAGATAGTTTGATTCTTATATAAGCATAATTAGGACATTCAAAATAGAAGTGAATCTTTACGCTTAGCACCATAGCGATCAGACTTGATCTGAAATGATATCGACTCTGTTAAGATCATAATTCAAAAAAGTAGCTAAGTTGAGTCAAAATGATGTTGAGTTTACGATTTCCAAATTCATAATGTTAATGTACTTAGGCTTTTGAATTCAGTTTAATATTTTTGAATTCGGTTTTATATTTACCTAAAGAGTCAATGTTGCGTGTAACCACATTAAGATTATTCCACAGTCGTTTGAAGGATTCTTGGGTCAATGAAAGTCTACGAAAAGGGTATATTATATCATTCCCATTGCGTAAGGGGTAAACATCTGTACTTTGGATTGTTGGTGGAATTAAATTGCAAAGATATGCTGGTGCATTATTATGATGAATATTATAGAATAATTGTAACTTCCTCCTTTCTCTTCGTTCAGTTAGAGTTTCCCAACCAATCTCATCAATAATAATCTACTACTAGTAAAAATAGGAAGACCTGTATATAATTCTGGCTGCCTCAAGTTGCAGCTGCTCTAATTTGTTACAATAACCGACACCAATATTATCCCAAATTTCACAGTCATATTCGAGTAACGGTCTTATAAAAGTCAAGTACAGCTTTTCTAAGTTATTTCTTCTTAATCTGTACTTTAATTTTCTAAGTACATTCAAATGTTTCGATATATTTTTTATGATACCTCCCACATGGGTGTTCTATTTAGCATCTCTACTAAATGTAACACCCAAATGTTTATAAAAATCTATAACTTTAATATTCTTGCCATTGAATATGAAACTCATTTCCGGAGATCCAATGTATGAAAACAAAATCATTTCTGTTTTTTTTTTCTGGGTTAAAGGACATCAGCCATTTCTTAGAACAATCGCTTAGCTCACTCAAGACGTGACGGATCACTGATTTTATTTGTGAAGTGTCACGACTAGAATAGCTGAGAGATGTGTCATCTGCAAATAATCTACATAAAGAGATAAAAAAATTTCAGCATTATCATTACTATAGATAATGAATAAGAGATATCCCTTAACAGAACCCTGTGGGACACCAGCTGAAATACTGCAAAGCTCTGACAAAGATTGTTTAATAACAACTCGCGGTTGTCTGTTGATAAGATAACTTTTAAACCAATTCAATAACTTCCCGTCCACACCGTATGACTTCATTTTATGTATCAATCCTTGATGCCAAACTTTATCAAAAGTTTCAGAAAAGTCACAGAAAACGAAACAGCTAATTTCTTTATGTTCTAGTGAATTTAAAATACAGTTGTAAATTTCTTAAAGCTGGCCATGGTGAACAGTTACACATTTTGGAAGAAACCCAGACTGGTATTCATATATTAACTTATTTCTTTGTAGGTGATTGAAGACATGTTTATAAACAACTCTCTCCAATATATTTATAAATATATATATATATATATAAACAAGTCTAAATTGAAAACAACGTTTCAAACCTATGATTGCGTTGGATAAAAACCGCAATTTTTATACGTGTGCATGCAAAACTAATTTTTTGTTAGAGGGGTCTAAATACAGCACATACAACATTTTCCAAAAGACCAAAAAGTGAAAAAGTATATTTTAACAAAACGCATTTGACTAACAGGTCGAACAACAAATGTTCTTAAACCCTGCTGACAGCCATTGGCGATTGCCAAATAAACGGATCACCGATGTAATAAATGGATCTTAATTATAAATTTAATACTAAACAGAAAAAATAAACTTGCGGAAAAGATGGTATACCGCAACAAAAGGTGCAAAGGTTTTTGTACACCATATCCGGATTTCGACAATTAATGTCTCTTCAGTGATGTTAGGAATCGAAACGGTATATGGAAAGCCATACAAGTTACCTCAATTAAGGATAGACTTTTGAATTTTGAGGAGTCAAAATAGGATGGACGGATCATATAAACCCGAAGGCAAATATAATACAAGCCCAAACGAAAAAATATAAACAAGTCTAAATATATATATATATATATATATATATACAAGTCTAAATTGAAAACAACGTTCAAACCTATGATTGCGTTGGATAAAAACCGCAATTTTTATACGTGTGCATGCAAAACAAATTTCTTGGTAGAGGGGTCTAAATACAGCACAAACAACATTTTTCCAAAAGACTGAAAAAGTGAAAAAGTATATTTTAACAAAACGCATTTGACTAGCAGGTCGAACAACTGATGTTCTTAAACCCTGCTGACTGCCATTGGCGATTGACAAATAAACGGATCACCAGATGTAAAAAATGGATCTTATTATTAATTTATTACCAAACAGAAAACAATAAACTTGCGGAAAAGATGGTATATCGCAAACATGAGGTGCAAAAATTTGTACACCATATCCGGATTTCGACAATTAATGTCTCTTCAGTGATGTTAGGAATCGAAACGGTATTTGGAAGGCCATATAATTTACCTCAATTTAGGATAGACTCTTGAATTTTGAAAGAGTCGAAATATATATATATATAAGTACGTCTGAACCAGTGACAACTCTACAACAGATTTATCCATCGGATCACCAGCAGTGATGGTGATACATGGCTGTGTACATTCTGTATATACAACTCGTCTAAACATCAGCCCAACAATGTTAGATCTGTAAATTTACTTTTGCAAATTTTTTGTTCTTCCCTCGCCGGGATTCGGACTCATGCTACTGAGATATCTTGACACCAAATCGCCTGTGCTGTATCCGACGCGCTAGACCACACGACCACCTAGGCTTCACAAAAATAAAGCTTTCAGTGGCCGGGTGTTACCTTTCGTCGTCAGTTTTTCATCTAGCGTCGTAATACAAAACATGATATATAAGGCATGAAGATGGAATTGTTACAGATCAGCTGAAATATCTATTATAAAGGATCCTACAAATTAATGCAAGATACAGTCACAGAAATAATTATATTTATAAGTACGTCTGAACCAGTGACAACTCTACAACAGATTTATCCATCGGATCACCAGCAGTGATGGTGATACATGGCTGTGTACATTCTGTATATACAACTCGTCTAAACATCAGCCCAACAATGTTAGATCTGTAAATTTACTTTCGCAAATTTTTTGTTCTTCCCTCGCCGGGATTCGAACTCATGCTACTGAGATATCGTGACACCAAATCGCCTGCACTGTATCCGACGCGCTAGACCACACGACCTCCTAGGCTTCACAAAAATAAAGCTTTCGGTGGCCGGGTGTTACCTTTCCTCGTCAGTTTTTAATCTAGCGTCGTAATACAGTACATGATATATAAGGCATGAAGATGGAATTGTTACAGATCAGCTGAAATATCTATTGTAAAGGATCCTACAAATTAATGCAAGATACAGTCACAGAAATAATTATATTTATAAGTACGTCTGAACCAGTGACAACTCTACAACAGATTTATCCATCGGAACACCAGAGTGATGGGGATACATGGCTGTGTACATTCTGTATATACAACTCGTCTAAACATCAGCCCAACAATGTTAGATCTGTAAATTTACTTTCGCAAATTTTTTGTTCTTCCCTCGCCAGGATTCGAACTCATGCTACTGAGATATCGTGACACCGAATCGCCTGCACTGTATCCGACGCGCTAGACCACACGACCACCTAGGCTTCACAAAAATAAAGCTTTCGGTGGCCGGGTGTTACCTTTCTTCGTCCGTTTTTAATCCAGCGTCGTAATACAGTACATGATATATAAGGCATGAAGATGGAATTGTTACAGATCAGCTGAAATATCTATTGTAAAGAATTATTTCTGTGACTGTATCTTGCATTAATTTGTAGGATCCTTTACAATAGATATTTCAGCTGATCTGTAACAATTCAATCTTCATGCCTTATATATCATGTACTGTATTACGACGCTAGATCAAATACGTACGTGTGCATGCAAAACAAATTTCTTGTTAGAGGGGTCTAAATACAGCACAAACAACATTTTCCAAAAGACCAAAAAGTGAAAAAGTATATTTTAACAAAACGCATTTGACTAACAGGTCGAACAACAAATGTTCTTAAATCCTGCTGACTGCCATTGGCGATTGCCAAATAAACGGATCACAAGATGTAATAAATGGATCTTAACTATAAATTTAATACCAAACAGAAAACAATAAACTCGCGGCAAAGATGGTATACCGCAAACAAGAAATTTGTTTTACATGCACACGTATAAAAATTGCGGTTTTTATACAACGCAATCATATGTTTGAACGTTCTTTTCAATTTAGACTTGTTTATATTTTTTCGTTTGGGCTTGTATTATATTTTCCTTCGGGTTAATATGATCCGTTCATCCTATTTCGACTCTTTAAAATTCAAGAGTCTATCCTAAATTGAGGTAAATTATATGGCCTTCCAATACCGTTTCGATCCCTAACATCACTGCAGAGACATTAATTGTCGAAATCCGGATATGGTGTACAAATTTTTGCAC